ACCGTTACAATGCATGAATATTCAGAATCGTTCGACATCTCGCCGGACAAATCGTAGACGAATACTCATCCGTCACTTTGGAAGCTTGTGCATCCGGCCAAGCTGATCAATTAATATGGACAAAGAATGGAGTAGAAGTAAGATGATCACTATCACATCTGAAACACATCATTAATCAGCAATTTTTTTCAGATAAGCAATAATGACCGAACGGAAATCGCGCAGGACGGTGAACGATATCGGCTAACCATCAACAATGCTACGGCAGATGACGCTGGAACATACCAATTGGAACTCCGTCACCAAGGGTCAGACCTCGTGTCCGTAGCGTCGCTGATTGTTACCGGTAAGCTGTGAACTGATTAGATCTATGCGACCATAAGCTATGATTAATGCTCACTCGCTTCAACGTCTACATCGTGGTTGTAGTCCACTACGCACACGTTGCGGCAAACGCGACGGGTATGTACCAAGAGAATCGTAATTCGCCGCGCTAGTGGGCGTCGCGTGCGACGTCGCGCCCGCTAATGACGACGATTTTAGATGGTATTGGTCGAGAATAGACAATGTATGACCAAAAATAGACATAAGTGTCTGCGATGTCCTTGTCTACATGAAATCCGATGCTCCAATCAAGAGGACAGCGCAAAATAAGGAAACGTCGCGCCTGGCTGCGCGTGACGAAGCGGCAATGCAATTTACGATTCTCTTGCATATCTCCAGACGCGACGACATGCGCGTTGCGCGGCATTCGCAAGAGGTCTGCGTCTCGTACAGTCTTGTTCAGTGCTGATGAATGAATGAAGGGGCGTGTCAGGGTGGGGATAGGTTGTAGCGCGGCGTCGAATCTAGTTTTGACGGGTGCAAGCGGCGAGACTGTATCTTATGGTTCGTATCAACTCTTTTCCATTAATTGTTATCGCTTACCCGATTTCGGCAACTGGTAGGGAATAGGTTCAGCACCGCGCCAAACCGCCTGAAACGCCCCTTCATTCGCAGTGAACAGAACTGCTCGTAGACCTGACAAGAAGGGCTCTGCTGATGCGTGCGATGCTGCGACGAGGAAATAACGATGCTGGAAAAACCTGCTTTAGTAGCTGTTTTAAGGATGCGTTCATACTTTCGTCGGCGTTTTGAGCTTGCGGTAAGCGTTTTGAGCACTCGAGCGAAGTAGGAAAGTATTATCAATCTAGGGTACGTCAGCGCAGATCAGCGTTTTCAGCGCACATCAGCGTTTTGAGCAATAAGGAAAGTATAGGTATCGATCTGGAGTTTAGGCATGTACCTGCTCTCCGAGCGTTTCGCGGGAGTTTTGAACTTTCCGCGGCAAGTCGCTGAAAACGTTGGCGTACGCACGAAAAGCCGGATCGATATTTAGGTGCTAACGTAGTTGGAGGGGGCCACGCGGTTCTCGGCCAGTGATGACTCATCGACTCTTCTTTTCATGTTTAGGACATGGATATAAGATTGTCCTAGCTATATTCAAAAGATAAAACAGTTAACTCTGAAGAATGCGAAAAAACAGTTGTGGACAGGAAAATTTTGCCTAAACTTGTTGCTTTTTTGTTGTAGACCGCTGTTCTTGACTACAAAAGATCATACAATGTTGTTTTCAGTTTCTGTGGGATTTCTCAGCAAGTTTCCGGTGAATCTTGTTTGTTTTATTCTAATTTTGCTGCTAGATTAGTATGTCAACGCTGCTATCGATCGATGAGTCATCACTGGCCGAGAGCCGCGTGGCCCCCTCCAACTACGTTAGCACCGATATTTATACTTTCGAGCGCCTCGAAACGCTCAAAACGCTGACACAAGGTATGAACACAGCCTGATGGGGAGTATGGCACTCGTCCACTGCTCTGCCGTACCTCCCCTCTTCTGTGGGAGAACTGCTCCCTGAAAATAGTTCTATTCGGCCAGCAATAAGGCTGAAAAGCAATCGCTGCTTTCAGGAAACCCCAATGAACCCCCTATCACGAAATTGCCAACATCTGTGAGTGCGTCATCCGGGTCAGCCACAAAACTTGTTTTGGAAATGAAGAATGCCGAAGGTTACACTGTACAATGGTTCAAAGGAGCGGAAAAGGTTGAGAAATCAGATCGGTTGAAGTCCGTTAAAACAGGCAACTCATTCAAACTGGATTTCAAGGTTCGTGTCCTACTCCACGTTCGCCTTACAAGTATTTTTTCACGGTTTTCAATGACCAGTTAATTTCAGAGTGTGGAACCAACTGATGAAGGCGTGTATGTAGCGAAAGTCGTCAAGGACAAGAAAGCAGTAGCCAAATACGCCGCAGCCGTTCATGTAGAGCCGTAGAGCTGCCCTAGTACCTTAAACGACTTTCATCTATTGGCCTGACAATCAAAGAACCAATCGGGACACGACCACCATAACGCTTTGATGTTAGGCTGCAACTTCCGCTTTACCCTACATTTCCTCACGCTCAAGTTTTCGCATCTCTTTGCATCGCTATGGCCTGGGACACCATTGCGATGCAGAGAGCGCCATGAGTGCTCAATGTTGGACGATGTGTGCTCCAGGTTAGGGACAGCCTGGGATATTCCATCGATCACACTGAGCGCCAATAGCTTTGTTACCCTCGTTGTAGAATCTTCCGGGACAAGTCGATTCTCGACACTGATTTTCTCTCATATTCTCCGGTGTTCATTTCTAATTTCACGATTTAGTCCATGCTTTTCAACACCATTATAGATATAGCCACATTATAGAAATACCACAGTATGTGTTCTAAACCCGTATTCTTCCGTTACTCTCGAGGTTCTGTTGCCGTAAGCAAATAGTAGGCGAAACCCCCTATGCCAATATTGCGTCTCGTACCTTTGCTCGTATGTATTTTAATTGAAGTTGTCGAGTAAGGCACGGCAGCCGACTTCGAAGCACTTTCAACTGTGTTTGCTGTTAGTATCACAACTATATCTTGGACATAACACATTGTCACGTGTTTGTAAATGTTTATTATGAATAAATTTATAAATAACAGACAAGAATGAAAATTGCTGTCGACGAGAATTAATCGATACCACATCTGTGGTTGGTTGATTAGAAAGTGTCTAGCAAGCTACACAGGGTGCACAGATCTGTGAATTATCACGCTAAAACCAATATCACCAGCATTGAAAAAGCAACCTATCTGCAGAGAACAACAACCTTCGAACGTATACTGTAACGGGAAGTGGAAAACGAACACATTCTCATGTGTTTCGTCGCAAATCGAAAAGCAACCAAGAACTAAACAAACTGGAAACGTTCGCTAACGTGACAAAGTTGGCGCCAAATCGTAAGACATGATATACGAAAAAAAAACTGAAAAAAGCTACACAAAATTTACAGTTGCGAGATGGATGGCGATAAATCAGCGCTTGACGGTCTTCCGAGTGGCTGAATCAGCCATTGAAGAGTGATATCTGAAAGAGAGATTTTACTTATCGTCAATGAAACTGCTGCCTGAGAACTGATCCCTGGCTATTTACCGTCGAGCAACAGCATCGCTGTGTGAACACACAATCCGGATCGTACTTTTCGCTGCGGAGGGGGGTCGTACGCAGACATTGTTGGAAGGGGGGGGGACATATGTGACTCCGAGAGGAACCTGCCCTGGTTTATGTGCCCCCTCCCCCCATTTCTGGGTGAAGTACTGGAAAATGTGGGAATTGGTAGGTAGGCGTTGGGGAGGGGGAGGGTCGTACCGAGACCCTCATTTAGGTGGGGGGGGGGCATGGGGGGGGGGGTTGTACTGACATCCTCCCTCGAGAGGGGTCGTACCTACACCACCATTTCACACATCACGATGCTGTACCGTGTTTACAGAGAAATGAAAAGAAGATCCATAAGGGTATCATTGTGCGAAAACTTGTGGCTTGGGAGGTAGTGAAGCTGGCCTCGGGAATATTCTTCCCAGTGGTAGGTTTTTCGCGTTTCACCCGTGATGGCGCGACAAAACTAGCGCTGGTGTAGGTGTCGAGTATATGGCAAGACAATCGCAATATGCCACGGTGGTGAGTGTGAGGAGCGGCGGCCACGACGGACGAGTTGTCTTGGAATTCATATGAGTTTCACCGTTTCAATCGACAAGTACTACAAACTGCCGCGTGTCCCCGCATACGTTGCACCGCAATTTACCATTCTCTTGTCTGTCTATGAGGTGTCTGCCTATCTCGATCGACTTCGACAAAATGCGTTAGAAAAGTTTGGGAAGAGTTCGGGAAATTCGCGTTCATATTTTCTATCAACCTACGCCAACTTACAGCGGCGGTTTGAGCGTTTCAAGCGTACGTCAGCGCCAGCGACTAGAAATGTATATTAGGTCATCCCATTCAAAAGCAGATCTTATTCACATAAAACGAAGAGAAAAACAGATAGAAAAGTAATATTTTGGATGTGATTGAGTAGATCACCAATGACCCGCTCTCTGGGCCCCGAAAGCGTTTGGACCTCTGGTACCTTCGGTTTTTCAACAAGTGCGAGTAAATTGCTGTTGCTGCCAATTTCGGCGAATGACAAAACATTGTAGCGTTTGCCGTCGGAGAGTACCCTCGACTGACCAGAACAGTTGGAATCGAACGGCTTTATGTTGGGCGAATGGGGCGATTGAACCCAGGTCTCAGTATTGTTTGTGTCCCAGCACTGCCCTACAATACAGTTACTCGGGGTCTGGCACTATGACGAGCAACGGTGGCCTTCTTGTAGTTGTGTGGTATCATCCATTTGTCGATCTGATTGCCGAGGAACAGGCAATATACACCGACAGCGACGATTTTATTCTCTGTATAGAGCCGCCTGAAAGCCACAGTGTGGGAATCCTTCGCTATGATGATCATCCACTTGCGCCCACGTAACTCCTCATGGTAGAACTCGGGCGGCTTCTCATCTGCATTCATACAAAATTGACGATTGTGAGTTTTGGCTCGAGGTCCAAGACCACCCATATTTCATCTAGGGCCGGGGTGCGTTTTCACAGTCGTGAATGACATCTCATGCTGAGAACATTACTGCTAGAGGTATAGAATCGGTACTGCGTTCGTGTTTCTGTAAGAAAATTAGGTACCCTTCACCATCCTCACTTTATCAGACATAACTGCAGTAATTGCAGCAGGAATGTCAGCTTAATTGCAGCAGGGATGTCAGCTCGCGGGGAAGCTCGACAAAGGTCCAGGCTCTGGGATCAGACATTCAGCGCTTGACTTCATCCACCCTTTTTTCTTGTGCAGGATGAACATTATGGGACCATCCACGACAACAAATTTTTTCCTTTT